ATGATTTAAAATTTTTTTTAGTTTCGAGTAAAATTGCGAATTATTTAATAGTGTTATCAAAATCAAACATATGACCCGCCGCACCGCATGCGTGCTCGTACACTGACCGAACACTTTTAGTGTGCCTATAGTTATAATACATTATATTATATTATTTCTTCAAAGCTAGAAAAAATATTTAAAGTCCGGAAATTAACGAAAATAAAATTTTGAAACGTCAATATTTTCAGAAAAATAAACTCAACAAAATGGCTATCTTCGATTTTCTTAGAAATAATTAAATAAAAAAATATATTTTATACATTTTTTACCAAAACATTAAAATAAATTATAAAATGAAATAATTGTATTTCTTATTCTTGTGAGTGTTATTACAAAACCAAAATTTTGATACCTCCATTATTTCGTGAGATATCACAATTGGTAAATCCTCGTGGTACACCCTGTATAATATATGTCATATACATTTAATTCATATTCATATTATTTTTAATATAAAACATACTATTAGTATATTATTATAATGTATACCTACCATATAATACCATTATGATAATGTTAAGTATGTTTATAAAATGGATTTTGACGCTAAAACTACATTTTATAAAAAACTGAATGTTTATTATGAAAAAACCCGATATACTCGTATAGACATCAATGGAATTATTATATGTTAATATTATATGTTTATATTATATTAAATGTCCACACTTTTGTACGTCAGACAAACTATATAGAGGTACCGTCGAAAGCGGTGATTGTGTACCTGAATTGCCTATATAATGCGCCGTTTATACATTAATKTATTATTAATATTATAATGACATTTTGATTAGCATAATATCWAGAAAAACATAATTTAAGAATTATAACGAACTAGAAAACACGCCATTATTTTTTCTTCTTTTTGATGATGTCAATAAGTTTATGTACACTCTAAATTTTGTAATGATAAATTCGAAACAATTAAAAATATGTTACGGAACAAATCACTAAACACAAAAAAGGTCTTTCTCAAGACCAACAATCTGACCACTATAATAAACAAGCGTAACACAGATAACATAGGGAACACACTTACAAAAGTGTATTTTAATCAATTATTCATGAGCAGTATGATGGATTAAAAACACACCAACTAAAGAGAAACGATCAGGTAACGGTGTGGTTTTCATCCATCATACTAACAAAACTGCAACTGATCATCACCGGGATAAACAGCTCGGAGTGTATAT